CACTCACTGCAGACCCAACTTCCTCTCACCTTAAGGCTATTCACAAACAAATCCGTACACTGGAACAACTTAAAGTGATATTCCCCGAAATAAACAAGAGTATTCTCCACGGTGAGGTATCCTGCCCCCACTTCTACGGCCTCCCTAAAATCCACAAACCAAACAAACAAGGCTCAATACTTCCTCCTTTTAGGGGTGTAATTTCACAAATCAGTGGCTCTACCACTGGAGCCTCCTACTGGCTAGACAGCATTTTTAAACCCCTCGTCCCCGACTTCTGCGGCAACCATTGGGTCAAGGACAACTTACATGTCCTTCAAAAAATTAAAACACTGAATGAAAAAAGGCAAATTGCAGACAACACCAACATTTTGGCCATAGACGTTGTAGACATGTACAATAACATCCCACTCAAAGAAGGAGTCGAAGCCTGCCGCTTTGCTCTCGCTAGCCTCACCCCATGTCAAATAAAAGAAATTGTCAACTCCTGGAACTAGTCCTTACACTAAACAACTTCTCCTTCAACGACCAACATTTTCTTCAACTCACAGGAACAGCCATGGGAACACCTGTAGCTCCTTCCCATGCCAACATTTTTAAGGCAGAATTTTGGCGTAAAAACATCGCCCCCCCCCCTTCCCAACCAACCTTTTTTGGTCATGAGATACATGGACGACATTATCGCCCTACATGATGGTAATTCTGAACAAACGCATCAATTTCTTTCGGACATCAACAGCGTCCATGACACCATCAAATTCACACACTCCAACTCCGGAAAGTCTACAGCTTTCCTCGACTTCTCCATCCACCTTCTCAATATCAACATTGAGACAGACCTCCACCTCAAACCAACCGATTCTAAGCGCTACCTCCCCCCTTCTTCCAACCACCCCAAACATATTTTCCGTTCCGTTGTTTACAGTGGTGCGCCCCGACTCCGACGCATTTGTTCCAGGGATGAATGGTTTAATGCTAAAATTACAGATTTCAGGGTAAACCTTCTTCGCAGTGGATACCAAAACAGTTTTATAACCCCCACCATAAACAAAGTGTGCAAACTCAGGCACAAGGATCTACTTAGCTACAAACTCCACAAACCTCATAAGAAAAGGCCATTCTATGTCACCACTCACCACCAAAAGCTGCCCAATGTCCACAACATCCACAACCAGCACAAATATATTTTAGAAAAATCTGACAAGATGATGAAGTGCTTCCCTTAGCCCCCTTTAATCGCTCTCCGACAACCCCCCAACCTTAGCAACCTTCTCATCCGTACGAAAGGTACGATACATTTTCCTTCACCTCAAAACAACCTCTCACAAACCCCCCAGAACCACCCCTGCAAGAAACCCAGGTGCAAAACATGCCCTTGCATGACAGAAACCAACCATGTAGAGGGACTTCTTTTCAAAAAAGTTCTTAGAGATAACATCAACTGCGAAACTAAAAATGTAATCTACTTAATAACATGCAAAATATGCTCTGCCCAATATGTAGGACAAACCACAACCACTCTTAGGGCCAGATTTAACAATCACAGGTACTCAAAACAAAACCACTCAGGCACCCCAGTCGGCCAACATTTCAATAGCCCTGGTCACAACGGAACCACTGACATGCAGCTTCAGGGTAT